GTGGACTGGTATATGAGGGTGTGGACTGGTATATGAGGTGTGGACTGGTATATGAAGGTGTTGACTGGTATATGAGAGTGTGGACTGGTATATGAGGGTGTGGACTGGTATATGAGGGTGTGGACTGGTATATGAAGGTGTTGACTGGTATATGAGAGTGTGGACTGGTATATGAGGGTGTGGACTGGTATATGAGAATGTGGACTGGTATATGAGCGTGTGAACTGGTATATGAGGGTGTGGACTGGTAATATGAGGGTGTGGACTGATATATGAGGGTGTGGACTGGTATATGAGGGTGTGGACTGGTATATGAGGGTGTGGACTGGTATATGAGAATGTGGACTGGTATATGAGGGTGTGGACTGGTATATGAGGGTGTGGACTGGTATATGAGAATGTGGACTGGTATATGAGGGTGTGGACTGGTATATGAGGGTGTGGACTGGTATATGAGGGTGTGGACTGGTATATGAGAATGTGGACTGGTATATGAGGGTGTGGACTGGTATATGAGGGTGTGGACTGGTATATGAGAATGTGGACTGGTATATGAGGGTGTGGACTGGTATATGAGGGTGTGGACTGGTATATGAGGGTGTGGACTGGTATATGAGAATGTGGACTGGTATATGAGGGTGTGGACTGGTATATGAGGGTGTGGGATGGTATATAGAATGTGGACTGGTATATGAGGGTGTGGGATGGTATATAGAATGTGGACTGGTATATGATTGTACACAATCCTGGGCATGATTTAACACAAACATGGGCATGATTGTACACACACACCTCCATGACTGTTCACTAGTATGATTATTCGTTTCACAAAATTGGGTTGTAGAGGAGTGCCAGGTAGTGTTATTGTTGTGATGATTGTGTTGTAGAGGAGTGCCAGGTAGTGTTATTTTTGTGATGATTGTGTTGCAGAGGAGTGCCAGGTAGTGTTATTGTTGTGATGATTGTGTTGCAGAGGAGTGCAGGTAGTGTTATTGTTGTGATGATTGTGTTGTAGAGGAGTGCCAGGTAGTGTTATTGTTGTGATGATTGTGTTGTAGATGAGTGCCAAGTAGTGTTATTGTTGTGATGATTGTGTTGTAGAGGAGTGCCAGGTAGTGTTATTGTTGTGATGATTGTGTTGTAGATGAGTGCCAAGTAGTGTTATTGTTGTGATGATTGTGTTGTAGAGGAGTGCCAAGTAGTGTTATTGTTGTGATGATTGTGTTGTAGAGGAGTGCCAGGTAGTGTTATTGTTGTGATGATTGTGTTGTAGAGGAGTGCCAAGTAGTGTTACTGTTGTGATGATTGTTTTGTAGAGGAGTGCCAGGTAGTGTTATTGTTGTGATGATTGTGTTGTAGAGGAGTGCCAAGTAATGTCATTGTTGTGATGATTGTGTTGTAGAGGAGTGCCAGGTAGTGTTATTGTTGTGATGATTGTGTTGTAGAGGAGTGCCAAGTAGTGTTACTGTTGTGATGATTGTTTTGTAGAGGAGTGCCAGGTAGTGTTATTGTTGTGATGATTGTGTTGTAGAGGAGTGCCAAGTAGTGTCATTGTTGTGATGATTGTGTTGTAGAGGAGTGCCAAGTAGTGTCAGTGTTGTGATGATTGTGTTGTAGAGGAGTGCCAAGTAGTGTCAGTGTTGTGATGATTGTGTTGTAGAGGAGTGCCAGGTAGTGTTATTGTTGTGATGATTGTGTTGTAGAGGAGTGCCAGGTAGTGTTATTGTTGTGATGATTGTTTTGTAGATGAGTGCCAAGTAGTGTTATTGTTGTGATGATTGTGTTGTAGAGGAGTGCCAAGTAGTGTTATTCTTGTGATGATTGTGTTGTAGAGGAGTGCCAAGTAGTGTTATTGTTGTGATGATTGTGTTGTAGAGGAGTGCCAAGTAGTGTTATTCTTGTGATGATTGTGTTGTAGAGGAGTGCCAAGTAGTGTTATTGTTGTGATGATTGTGTTGTAGAGGAGTGCCAGGTAGTGTTATTGTTGTGATGATTGTGCTGTAGAGGAGTGCCAGGTAGTGTTATTGTTGTGATGATTGTGTTGTAGAGGAGTGCCAGGTAGTGTTATTGTTGTGATGATTGTGCTGTAGAGGAGTGCCAGGTAGTGTTATTGTTGTGATGATTGTGTTGTAGAGGAGTGCCAGGTAGTGTTATTGTTGTGATGATTGTTTTGTAGATGAGTGCCAAGTAGTGTTATTGTTGTGATGATTGTGTTGTAGAGGAGTGCCAAGTAGTGTTATTCTTGTGATGATTGTGTTGTAGAGGAGTGCCAAGTAGTGTTATTGTTGTGATGATTGTGTTGTAGAGGAGTGCCAAGTAGTGTTATTCTTGTGATGATTGTGTTGTAGAGGAGTGCCAAGTAGTGTTATTGTTGTGATGATTGTGTTGTAGAGGAGTGCCAGGTAGTGTTATTGTTGTGATGATTGTGCTGTAGAGGAGTGCCAGGTAGTGTTATTGTTGTGATGATTGTTTTGTAGATGAGTGCCAAGTAGTGTTATTGTTGTGATGATTGTGTTGTAGAGGAGTGCCAAGTAGTGTTATTCTTGTGATGATTGTGTTGTAGAGGAGTGCCAAGTAGTGTTATTGTTGTGATGATTGTGTTGTAGAGGAGTGCCAGGTAGTGTTATTGTTGTGATGATTGTGTTGTAGAGGAGTGCCAGGTAGTGTTATTGTTGTGATGATTGTGCTGTAGAGGAGTGCCAGGTAGTGTTATTGTTGTGATGATTGTGTTGTAGAGGAGTGCCAGGTAGTGTTATTGTTGTGATGATTGTGCTGTAGAGGAGTGCCAGGTAGTGTTATTGTTGTGATGATTGTGTTGTAGAGGAGTGCCAGGTAGTGTTATTGTTGTGATGATTGTGCTGTAGAGGAGTGGCAGGTAGTGTTATTGTTGTGATGATTGTGTTGTAGAGGAGTGCCAGGTAGTGTTATTGTTGTGATGATTGTGCTGTAGAGGAGTGCCAGGTAGTGTTATTGTTGTGATGATTGTGTTGTAGAGGAGTGCCAGGTAGTGTTATTGTTGTGATGATTGTGCTGTAGAGGAGTGCCAGGTAGTGTTATTGTTGTGATGATTGTGTTGTAGAGGAGTGCCAGGTAGTGTTATTGTTGTGATGATTGTTTTGTAGATGAGTGCCAAGTAGTGTTATTGTTGTGATGATTGTGTTGTAGAGGAGTGCCAGGTAGTGTTATTGTTGTGATGATTGTGTTGTAGAGGAGTGCCAGGTAGTGTCAGTGTAGTGATGATTGTGTTGTAGAAGAGTGCCAGGTAGTGTCAGTGTTGTGATGATTGTGTTGTAGAGGAGTGCCAGGTAATGTCGGTGTTGTGATGAATGTGTTGTACAGAAGTGCCAGATAGTGTCAGTGTTGTGATGACTGTGTTGTAGATGAGTGCCAGGTAGTGTCAGTGTTGTGATGAATGTGTTGTACAGAAGTGCCAGATAGTGTCAGTGTTGTGATGACTGTGTTGTAGATGAGTGCCAGGTAGTGTCAGTGTTGTGATGAATGTGTTGTACAGAAGTGCCAGATAGTGTCAGTGTTGTGATGATTGTGTTGTAGATGAGTGCCAGGTAGTGTCAGTGTTGTGATGATTGTGTTGTAGATGAGTGCCAGGTAGTGTCAGTGTTATGATGATGGTGTTGTAGAGGAGTGCAACAGTGCCAGGTAGTATCAGTGATGCCAGTGCCATGGGAACTTTGCGAATAATTAGGACAATTTTCACTAACAGAAATTGTTAGGTGAATGTACGACGTCTGGGAGAATCTCAAGTACAGTACAAATTTTTATTTTGTCGACGTTTTACTCAGTGTAGATCATAATACAATCAAACTAAGGCTCAACGTGGAGCTTTATAAAGTCAATTATGGGAACGTGTTCACAATGTACTTGTGTTTCTCTAAAGTTTTTATAGTACACCCTTGTATATACGCCAGCACGGGCCAATAGGCCTGTTACAATTATCATTTTTCCCCTTGGTTGCAGACACGGACCTGTGTGTACAGATGTATGATTATGCAAAGACAAAAGTGAAATTTAGACTGATCAATAATACAAAGGAACTCACATGCAGATAATGAAAAGATCAATATTTCTGGGCTTGACAATGAGTGTGGTGAGTGGCGACCTCATTGTGACACACAGACATGCAATACTTATTTCGTTTTCGGGTCTTTATGTTGCCTCATAAGTGCCATTTATGGACATGACTACACAGGGCATGACTGTATACAAGGATAGGCATGACTGTACACACGGGTAGGCATCGCTAGAGGGCTGGGAGAGGAAGAGGAGGAGGAGGCAGGGGTAAGAACACAGGCTCCGAGGAACCATATTGGGCCATGTTTGACATGTACCAGAATAGATCTGGCAAACCGGCGACCTGGCGCTCCTGGCAAGAGCCAAGATGCACGCATCTGCCCTTTCTCTCTCTCTCTCTCTCTCTCTCTCTCTCTCTCTCTCTCTCTCTCTCTCTCTCTCTCTCTCTCTCTCTCTCTCTCTCTGTCTCTCTCTCTCTCTCTCTCTCTCTCTCTCTCTCTCTCTCTCTCTCTCTCTCTCTCTCTCTCTCTCTCTCTCTCTCTCTCTCTCTCTCTCTCTCTCTCTCTCTCTCTTTCTCTCTTTCTCTCTTTCTCCCTTTCTCGCTTCTTTACACAAAATCCACTCACACAAACGCAAACAGCCACTCAAAGAAACCACACTAACACAGGCTCAGACACACACTCTCGTCCACATAATATGGAGTCAAGAGCTCTGTGTATACACTTCAGCTCAGGAACTATTCGTGCATTTCATTGACCATTTGGTACGAAAGAGAAAGATGTGACGGTGGCAGTGCGTGCAGGAGAAGCAAGAAATGCAGAGGTAGAGCATTACAGAGGTACTGTATTACAGAAATAGATCATTACAGATGTAAATTATTAGTGATAGAGCATTACAGTGGTAGAGCATTACAGTGGTAGAGCATTACATTGGTAGAGAATTACAGTGATAAAGCACTACAATGAACCTACTGGACGTATGTCACCAACGTGAGGGCGGGCGGGGATGGGCGGGGGGAGGCGGAGCTAGCCACTCTAGATAATCCGTCGGACTTTGGAGATGTGGAGGGAGGAGAGACCAGGCAGCCGCTCGCGCAGAGGCTTCTCCGGGATGTACTTGACGTCAACTTCGCCGATTGAGGACTTCTTTTCATAGGAGATGTTGTATTTTTCCTTTCTGGCCAGCTCATACTCGGACCAGACGCTGGTGTTGCGAGAGTACACCCTGGGAGCCCCGGGACGGTCGAAGTGCATACCAACCAAGCACACGTTGCGAGAAGCCATGGTTTACGAGATGCTGCAAGAGACATGTCTGCCGTCAGCCCGGAGGCTGCAGCAACGTAGCAGCAGTGCAGCACTAGATTCTTGTGGAAAAGGTGGTAAAAAAGGAGGGGAGAGGAGAGGGAAATGTGAAAGAGGAAATGGGAATGGATAAGAAAAGGAGGAACTGCAATAGTGAGTGGGACGCGTCACACCGCCAGCACAGAGTCCACTGTTTAACACATTTCCAGAGTTTCTTTATATTTACAGTTTGTGTTTGCAAAAAAAAAATCAAATGCTATATGTGCATTTTAATAATTAGAGGAGCAATTATATAAAAAAAATCCGCTAGTTACTGCTAGGAAAAGTTATCACTGTTCGGAATAGACATACATAATTATTAACATTTTTCGATTCGAAGACTGAAGAGGTGGTGCAGTGGGTGAGGATCATGCAGGGTAGGGACGGACACTCGGTAGTGTCTCATTGTTTCGTGTTTATCATAATTGGCGACAAACTTTGATTGAGATTGGCCTCGATTTCTGTATGATCCACAAGAGTGTTGTCGTCACTTAGAGAAAACTACACCAATGATGTAGCTAACGCTCTTCGTATGTTTCATTAACATCCCAAGGCACAATCACAGTAGCTGCTCTTCACAGAATGGGTCTATTTTTGGTACGTTAATGGTAAGTATCCTCTCCACAGGGAAATTATTTAATGGTACCATGGTTGGTACTCGTACAGTGTGGCATCACTGGTACAATCATGATAGCTCTTTCTCTCGTGATGATGACCTTAAATGTCACAAATGCAGTATTTTTTCCTTGTAGGACAGTGAACTTTCGTTTGCTAACTGTTCTTCATTAATAGACTGCTTCTCGAGGCAAAACTGATAGCTTTTCTTCATAGCAGACTTCACTACATCCCCTTTTTATCACATAGTTTACTTTATTTTAATCTTAGCTACTATCATCAAAGTTTAGCGTCAATTATGTCCTCCAGTCAATCATCCAAGTCCATTTTGCTGATGCGTTCGAGGATGTCTTGGGAGGAAGGTAATTTCTTCATCATATCCACCACAGACGTGTCGTCATCATCAATCTCTAGATCAGCGATTACCTTGCGACTACTACGACCAGTGGCACTCGAAGACGACCCAGCGGATGACAAACTAGAAAACCGGTCTGCCTTCTTTTCCGTTGAGGATTTAAAGGAGTAATCATCCTTCTTCCTGTCTAACTTTGGTGACAGAGTCAATGGTTTTCGTTCTATCCTGGGCAGTTCGAACTCCACCGACCTAGACGGTAGCTTGTAATCGTTGGTGTGGTCTGACCTTGATTTGTAATCGTCAGTGCTGCGTTCTGACTTGAATTTGTAGTCATCAGTACCGACTTCAGTTTTCAGTTTATAATCCTCGCCCAGACCTCCCGTGCCGTTCATCCGAGAGGTCCTCTGGGATTTGAAGGTATAAGAGGCTTCATCAGGAGTACCATCAGCGACAGATCGTGAGGTTCTCTCGGATTTATAAGTTTCAAAGTCGCCGAGGCCACTGCCAGTGGTGCGGGTTGCAGAGTCACTTCTCGTAGAGACTGCAGAGGATGAGGCATAACCTGTTTTAGTATCACTAGGCATGCCCAGTTCTGCCCTCAATCTTTTAAGCCTCTCCAGTCGTTCTTCGATGCTGAAATTGTCTTTAGAAGAATCATAGGTTGGAAGACCTTCCAAGCGGCTTGTGAAACTAATCTCTGCCGACGAGCGATCAGTGTCATGGTGAGATCTAAATCCCTCTGGAGGGGAAGGAGGGACAGGAGGACGGGATGATGGAGACCCGCGCCTGATAGGACCAGCTCGTAGGTGAGGGTAGAACTCTATCTTGTCTGTGTCTATAGACCTCGCCCTTGCAGCTTTAGCGGCCGCCTCTTCTTTTTCAGAGAGGTAATGTTTATAAGACTCTTGGTAAAAGCGTTCAGCATCTCGGATGTTACATTCGTACACTTTGGGTTTGGGACGCTTCCAGTAGCGGTTGACCTTCGGAGGGCGATAATTATCCATAGTGATGCAGAAGGAGCCGGAGCCGAGCTGGAAGAGAGACGCGATGTTCAGAGACGGCTGCTACCCGTACTGTATCCTAGCTGGTGCCACCACCACAGCAGCCGCGGCAACACACGCACCAGCACCGCCCACCACCCCGCTACGATACTAGCGCCACGTGTGGGGTAGGTAGAAGGGGGCGGCAGACACCAGCAGCACTGCTCTGGCTCTTGCTTACTCTCATCTACACCAAAACTGCTCAGGAGGCTGTGGTTGCCAGCACTCCTGACTCACCGGGGCAATGAACAATGTGTGAGCACAACCACCCCCGCCACCCACCCACTTCATCACCACTCCACAAAAACAGCCTCTTTACCAGAGAAATGCCGATAAACAGGAGTATTGAGCCTCTATGACTCCAGAATTACCCCATACTCCTTTTGCACTTCATATTAAATTAGTGTCTGCGTTGCAATCCCCCGTATCAACAGTCACCATAGCAGTTCCACTCAACACGTCGTAGCCTCAGACAGGAACAGACTTAGCTGAACTGCGACTGAAAACTCCCACTAGCGGCTAAATAGCATTTCTCTCTCGCTTTTAGGAGTAGTTGAAACTAGATGCTAGATCTAGTCCCTTCTGCTCCTTCCGTTAAATAACCCACATGGGTTTAGTAGCCTCCATGGATACGTATTGGTTGCTTGCTTAATGGGCTATAAAACCTATCGACTACACGAGGATCATTAAGGCTTCGTGGAACCTATTCACCGCCAGACAAAAACACTTTAATCACGATGCGCTGAGAAAGCTGCATCTCTTGGGGCTTTTATCATTTGACAGGTATTTTTGCCCAGGTCTTCTGTTGTATATCACTGTTACTGAGAAGAGAACATATAAAGTTACGACTTTCTAAGTGGTGTATTACGGTCACTCTAGAGTCAGGAAGTGCCAGAGTTTGGTCACATGTTGACACTCTCCTAAAATAATGACCCATAATGTGAAGGTCGTTGTGGGGAGGGAAGTGCAAATGATGTCGATGACTTACCAGTTGTGATAGTAGTTTTAGGGTAACCGTAGTTGTGGTAGTTGTGATTATGGTGAAGGTAGTTTTGGGGGAACTTGTGGTGGTCGTGGTAATTTTGGGGAAGTTGTAGTGTTAGTAGAGGGGCAGCTGTTGTGGGGGTGTGAGGTTAGTCGTGGAAGTATGGGGGGGGGGGGTTAGATATGGTAGGAGAATGAGAGTAATTGTGGTTGTTGTGGTGGTGGTGATGGTGGTGGTCTGGCAGTAGTAGTGGTAGCTGGGGTAACGAGAGCTAATAATAGCAAAACAATTCTTAAATGCTGTAAGTTTTGGGATCCAAGGTTACCATTCCCCAATGCGCTCGCCCCCAGTAGCAGTACTGGGACCCATGACCATCCCCAGTAGCAGTACTGGGACCCATCACCATCCCCAGTAGGAGTACTGGGATCCAAGATCACCCCCAGTACGCTCTCCACCAGTACATAAAAGCAAAACACATTTTATTCTCGTTTTGGTAATCAATCTAGAAAGCCCAACGACGGAAGAGATACCTGTTAATCCTTTTATAAATATGCAAATTAGAGCAATCTATTATTTAACGGTCCGGAAGTACAGACAACAGGGAAACAGAAATCGATCCTGAAAGAGTAGATCCTCCTCGGATCAATGATCCGGAGGGTTAGTAACCCAGGATGACCCAATAAAGCCACGCCCTCAGGACAAACAATGTTAGGTAAAAGGAGATAGGTGCAACTAATGTGACATTTTATTGTGGCAACGTTTCGCTCTCCAGGAGCTTTATCAAGCTTGACAAAGCTCCTGGAGAGCGAAACGTTGCCATTATTATTAAAAGCATTATGCTATTTTTTATTTTGTCGTAACATTAGCCAGACAATGTAACCCAACCTTCTAAAAATTCACGTAAATTCTCGTAAATTCACGAAAATTCACGTAACTTGAACTATTCCATTATATGTCAGTAAGTTTATTTAGGCGCAGCTACACGAAAGTACAATTATCATACATAGTAACATATGTGTACGTTAACCTAGGATAGCTCCCCCTCCAAAAAGTCAGACAAAGTGAGTTATTATCACTGAGGTCCTCTTCAGATGATTACTTACACCTAAAACACTTCCGCATTTTATGTAAGAGGGAAGACGAATTATTGAAGAAGTCCCTTCCATCTTTTCCCTGCTACATTATGGCTTCTTATTGTCTTGGCACTGTGCTAGCGGGCATAACACTCAAAGTTATTTTTGCCCGGCTAACAAGCGTGGTCCAGCAACTCTTGCCAAGTTTACCACCGTTTTCTCTACCTTCGTTTTCTCTGAAGAGTTTCATTTTACCGTTTTCTGTTATGCCCTAAGCCTCACGTTTTCTTTATATCCTGTGAAAGTCTCGTTTTCTTTGAGGAGTAAATGTTATAATGTCGTATAAATGTCGTTTTGAAGGTGGACAAATTGATGCAGAGGGTTGACTAGTGAGCCAGAAGAAGGCGTCGCTCACACAACCAGAACCAACATTGCGGATCATCGTATGACAAAAATGGACATTCCTCTTTTTTTTGTCTCAAGCAAAATAGAATACAAAATTGTTATAATCTTCAGTTTGAAGACTATACGTCAGAGCATTATTTCAGTCAAATATTTAAAGCTGAGCACGAAAATAGAGAAGAGTTTTAATTTAAGAAATAAATTATTTTACAATGTGTGGTATTACACTGGAAGAATCAGTTTCTGAAGGGGATACGGTCTCAGATTAAATAATTTCTGAAGGGGGATACAGTCTCTGATTAAATAATTTTTGAAGGAATGTATTCTCAGATTAAATAATTTCTGAGAGAATGTATTCTCAGATTAAATAATTTCGTTTGGTAATTAGTTTATGATAATTCATGGCGTAGGTAAAGAAATATCACAATACTTGGGAACATAAGTACAAAAGTGTACAAGTAGGAGACAGGAATAAATAAAAGATAAGTAAATATAGCGACGAAGACCCGTGTTAGGAAACACTTGTCCTGTTTCCTGACAAACCTTACTTAACCTGACCTATTTGTAACCAAGGATTAATAGTTGGTTACAGTGATACCCATAATTTTTAAAGGGGTGGACCAGTAAGCCAGCGGAAGGCCTCGGTCAGGTGATCAAAAGCTTCAGTGGCACACTTATCCTGTTTCCTGACTATACTGAACCTTGTAACCAAGAATGAACTCAAGTTAGATTTGACAATTGAGTTGAAGAATCATTTATTCTTTGTGCAAGGATTCCATGCTGTTGCTGTGTCAGAGGACAATGATTCCATCGAAGGATGGAGTACCAGTAAGTTGACAGATGCTGCATGCCTACTACAGTTCCATTAGTCTGGTTCTACCACTTCTTCACTACCAGAGTTAAGTTAGGCAAAATTCCTCGGGAAACAGGACCAAGTGTTTCCTGACCCGCCACTGGAGCTTTTAGTCATCTGACCGAGGCCTTCCGCTGGCTTCCCCGTTCACTCTTTAAAGATTAATATCAGCAATGATTTTTTTTAACTCAAAAGTTGTGGTGCTACCAGAGTGACCCCTACCATCCTTGTAAGGGCTAGAGGATGTCTCTACAACTTAACTGCTAAATCTCTGGCCATTTTATGGGCCTGACCTACTTCATTAATGGGCCTCACCAACATGTGACCATGCCTGCTACTGCTGCACCACTTCACACTCTTCTCTTGCTCCACTATAAAAGGCTCCGTTCTCAGGTCTCTGTATTAAGTTGACACAACTGATGAGAGAAACGTCTTTCATTAAAGGTTCCCAAGTGTTACTCATGTGTGTTATACCTTTAATCTGTAGATACAGAGGCCAGTAGGCCTATTGCTGTGCTCCTCTATTCTCATTTCCGGTCAAATATTAATGGTATACGAAACTGAGATTTCTTCAGTATAAAAACAGAGAAGCCTTAATTACTGGACACAACACTAGTAGTGAGTTAGATAGGGGTGATCAGTCCTTCAGTCTTAAAGGAGCAATTTTGAGGTGGTCAGTCCCACAGCCTTGGTAAGTCTTCAGCTCCATGGCTTCGATCAACCATTAAATATGACTGAGAAAAAACTTGAATTTGAGGGACTAGTTAATATGGACTGATATGCTTAAGCCAGTGCTCCTCAATTTCATGTTTTAACTTCCACTAGTGGGCCCTTTCTCCTCTGACGCTATCTCCAACTTCTGCACCTGATATATGCTTCAATTATAATAGGCTTTATTCCCATGCCTCAGCTGTACAGTGAAGCCGTGTAAGAGAACACTTACTAAGGCTGAGGGACTGACTATCTCAGACTTACATAGGAAGTCATCACCTTATATCTACCTCTCCAGTAATTCTGCGATCTCCAGTATTTTAGTCACCTATGTATTTCGACTGGAGAATGCTGAATAGGCGAAACGTCTCAGCAATATGCAACTTAACTGTTGCATATTCTTTACTCATCTCCTAAGTTCAATGAAGCACAACGAAACTCACTAAGACAAGATGAATAAACTCATACCTATCAGTGTACGAGTATGTACCAGATGACGCCACAATAACGAACAGAATGCTAACGGAAGATTATATATTGTGTCACGTGAATAACCAGGTAAGTACAGATTTAAGTTCCACACCGGTAAAAGCAAAACTACGAAATTATCAAGAGTAGTGGTCTCCAGCAGACCCCAGCAGGTGCAGGGGTCAGGATGCTTGTGTTCAGTAGGTCGCCAGTAACACGCAGCTCCACCAGTCACCACTCAACAGGTAGATTTTAAATCAGTTTATCAATTTTCATTTGTAGTGTATTCAAGCAAGAAAGTGAGTGTCTATACAGTGTGAGTTGACTGTAACGAGACAATAGCTGTGAATAATCTTACCTGTTATAGGGTTTAGATTTTATGGCAGATTTTTTAGACTAAATACTGGAATGTTAATATATATATATATATATAAATATAATATTATATATATATATATATTTATTATATATTAATATATATAATATATATATATATATATATATATATATATATATATATCTGAAATGATCAAGGCAAATTTCTTGGGTCATCCGCCATCAGCAGAGTACCACCAACCCATAGATCAAATGGATGTTGTGTGGATTGCTCGCTCGGTTAGGTTCTTTGTTGGTTGAGTCTGGCCAGCAACTGGATGGGTAGCATAGCATAGAATGCTACTTAATTATGCAGCACCTACTGACTCAGCTCTGTTGTGTAATTACCGTATCCAGAACC